AGGAGGGCGGAGCGGTGGCAGGAGCAGAGGGGGAGCAGAAAGCTTCGTCCTCGACTACCAAGCACATGAAGCGCTGGCACTCCTTCAAGAAGCTCATGGCTCAGAAGACACACAAAAAGAGTGGCAGCGGCGAGGACGGGAAGGAGGAGGGAGCAGAGGGAGAAGGAGGAGGCGGAGACTCCTCCACCCTGGACTCCAAGGAGTCCGGTCACAAGCGTTGGAAGCTGAAACGCTCCTGGACCTTCCAGGGTCTGAAGAGGGACTCGTCCGTGGTGGGCATCAGTGGCAAGGCCAGGGGCTCGGACAAAGAGTCTGCCGACAAAACAGAGGAGGCCGCATGGGGGGGAGAAGAAGAAGAGGGGGGGGAGGTTGAGGCAGGAGCCGAGGAGGCGAAGACGGAGGAGGAGAAGGCCGAGGGAGGCGAGGAGGAGAAGGCGGTGGGAGGCGGGACGGTGACGCAACACGCCAACGAGATCTGGACCTCCTTCAAGAAGCGCGTCATTCCCAAGAGCAAACGGGCCAACACAGAGTGCGCCCCTACTGGTGAGGAGGACACCACTGCAGCCTCTGGTGAGAAAACAGGAACTAATATCCTAAAATCCAACCGCTACATGAGCTAGCAGTGGAACTACATATGCAGGAGATGTTAGTCAAACTAAACAGCAGCTCAGTTTGACTGTCAGGCACGGTGGTGGAGGAGTGATGGTTGGGGTTGGTTTACAAATTCAGCACCTGGCAGTTATGGAGTGGACTCAATGGTTTCCACAGGCAGCCGGGTCATGGGGTGCACTTAGTTTTTAGTCACAATGTTTTTGTTTCAGTTTCTTTCTGAGATTTGATTGATTCTGTTCAAAACTCAATGATTTTACATGAACTGATACATAAACCCCTGGAACTGAGAGATCGTGTGCTTTGTTTCAAAAATCACTCAGACAACAGAGTTCAGATGTGAAGGAGTGATCCGTCTGTCTGAGGTGAGATTCAGTAGATCTCCACTCGGGTTGTTCCCGTTGGAAAGGCGACTTTAAGGCGTCGGAGCTCGTCTGACCGGCGCGCTGAAGGCTTGACCAACTTCCTGACGGGTTTGAAACAGCAGGACTCGAGGTATCATCCCAGTGGGACGCCGCTGCAGAGCTCTGGTCTCAGGCTGACTCTGACTCCGCACCTTTCCAGGGAGGTCAAGCCTCACCAGCTCGCAGGGAGCTGATGTAGTTCATCAAGTAAAATAGTCACTGTGTGAAATTCAAATTTTACAGACGCTCCAGTCAAAATTAGCTTTTGGCTGCATAAAAGGAAGGAGGGACAGAAAAAAGGTTGTTGGTAGGATGTTCCTCAGTAGGCTGTAACAGCCAATCAACTCTCCGTAAACCAATCAGCTTAAAATCTGTTAATCCTCAAAACCACGACAGAAACAGCCAACCTCCAGCACCAGGCAGCAGCCTGGAAGAACGGGTCGACCTCGGTACCAGCAGCCGCGGTTCCATCCAACCGCCATGCAAAGGTTCGAAATGAACAAAAACGGATAAAAGGAAAAAGGCAAAGTAGTTGATTTCCATCAGCCTGGCTGAACAGAGCATGATGACATCAGATGTTGACGCTACGCATGGCTGGAATAAACAGGAAGTAGAAGTTCCTAACAGGAAGTAGAAGTTGCTAGCTAGCATAAAGCAGAGAGAGTCCTCCCCTCCCTGCCATAGGTTTGGAGGGGAGAGTTTTCAGAGTTTGGTACCTCTGGTAAGGCACAGATCCAGCAGTGGAGGGGAAAGTTTGGTCTGTCAGAACTTATCCTGCAAATGTGTTTCTGTCTTTAGCGCATTAACTGTTTTTCAGAAATGACAAAAATTGCCTGAAGTGACTATAAAAACTTTTTTGCAAAATTGAGGAAGTCATTTTAAATTTTGCCATTTTAATCAACTTTTTCTAATGCAATACTTTAAAATGAGAATAAAAGCTGTTGATGGGAACACGGCTAATGATCCAGACCCAAAGAACCGTCTGGATTGGCTGAAGGGCAATTCTGAAGCTGGAGCGGTTCCCTGCTTTGGATCACGCGTCATCTTGCAGGAATAAAAATGTTTCACGCAGCGATCGGTCCGCTCCCTGACCAGTTCAGTTCTGTTTCTAAAGTTTCGACTGAGTCTCTGAACTCCTGAGACGCCACAAGGCACCATCAGCCAATCAGAGGCAAGCGTCTGGTAACAGGGGAGCTATGCTACAGGTTTTCTAAACATCCTGCAGCCCTGATCTCTAAAAGCTGTGGCTGTTTTCATATTCGACCATTTTCCTGTGAGCTCTATAACCATTAAATCAACACTGAAAGTTAAAACTATTCATGAATTATCTCAAAGCTTTCTGGATTCTCCGGACAAAACCTTCATGGGTAAGAAGCAGCGGTGCGCACACTTCCACTAATCTGCTAATAGGTGAGCTAATTTTTTTTTTTTGGCGCTGTAGCGATTTTGCTAACTTTGAAAACATCTAGCACACTTAGCTTCCCCTAAATTACATTTTCTGCTTTCTTTCCTGCTGCCTAAGATTTTAATACTTAAAGTAGTGGTGGGAAAATGTTGCTAATCTGCAAATGCGCTAATAGCAGAGCTAATTTTTAGTCGTTTCACTAACTTTAAAAACATTCAACGTACTTAGCTTCCCATAAAATAAATTTTCTGGATAAATTCTGAAAGCGCTAATTTACTTGGCTGTTTTAAAAACTGTTAGTTGAATAATGTTTGACATCCGTGTTGAATGTTAACAAGCAGTTCAGTTTCCTTTCCTGTTACGTTGCAGCAAATGACTCCTATTTTCTACCCAGAATGCATTGCTGTAGAACAGTAAACAGTTCAAATCTGCTAATGTTAGCATGCTTTCTGACCAAAGCCCTATTGTGGTCAATTAGGCTAAGGCAGCAACAAAGAATTTAGCACTTTAGCATTAGCAGAGCCAGCGTTTATCAGCAGGGCATTAGGGTTAGCACAGCTAGCTGCTAAGAAGCTTGCTCTACAGAAAGGGTCATTCAAAATAATCCAGACAAAGAGAACTGCAGTCTTCTTTGGTTCAGGTTTCCACCCAGTCAGTTATTAAAACGCTCGTTACTTCTGGAGTAACGCTAACGTTCCTCCATGTCCTCCACAGGTGAGGAAGCAGCTGCAGAGGAAGGCAAAGACTCCAAATCAGCCAAGGCCAAGCGTTCCCACTTTGGTCGTGCTGTTTCCCTGAAGAACTTCATCATGCGGAAGGGCAAGTCCAGCAGCGTGGACCAGGGCGAAGGCGCCAAGGAGGAGGAGGAGGCCGCTGAAGAAGGAGACGCCACAGAGGAGGGCGGAGCCGACGGCGAGGCCGCCGCAGCGACCCAGGAGAGCAATGACAAAGAGGCCGAGGAGAAGACTGCGGAGAGCGGAAGCGAGGCGGTGGAGGAGCCGGAGAAGACACCGGTGGAAGCGGCGGAGACCAACGGTGAGACAGGCTGCTCCAACGGCGTGGCGGAGGAGAACGCCACCGAGAACCATCAGGAGGAGGAGGAGCAGACGAAGGACAGCAGCCCCATGAAGAAGAGCAAGGAGGGCATGAAGGATGACGCCAACGCCAAGATCATCAACGCCACAGCGGCTGTGAACAGCGGTGAGTTCGAGCGCATCAGCTGGGACTCTGACGAGCCTCAGAGCGGCCGCAAAGGAGGCGGAGCTAACAGCAAGCAAGACACAGAGCGAACAGACAGCAGCAGGAAGCAAGGCCAAGGCAGCCATGTTGAATCCAAGCTAGCACTAACCGAGAGCAGGGAGGAAGAGGAGGAGGAGGGAGAGGCAGAGTCTCCCCAAAACGGAGGCTGTGACCAGGGAGGCAGGGGGGAGGAAGAGGAGGAGGAGATGAGGAAGAGGGACCTCCGAGAAGCAGCTGTGGCTATCGTTCAAACTGTGATGTCAGCAGCTACTGTCCAATTAGAGAGGGAGCTGAGCATCGACAACGGCTTCAATGGCCATTACAAAGTTAGATACTGACGACACGAACACGCTCCTTATATTCACACTTTACTGCACATGGTCACATTAAAACACTTTCATGTGCTAAAAGTTACGTAGCACAAGCATGAATTCACAGGTTTTAGGTTTCCATGGCAACAGGGAGAGAGGTTTACACCCGATCTGCAGGCCAGTTTTAGACCCGGTTGTGATCGGTTCTGATCATCTTTTTATAGCGGCAGTGAATGGAAGCAGCTGAAAGTCAGTTTTATCCTCAGAGTTTATTTGTGAGGGTTTTTCCTGCACTACAGACTTTAAAAAACGTGATTTTTAGATTTCCACCACACTTCTAAGAATGTCTGGTTTGGTGCTTTGTCAGAACCAGAACAACCCAACAACAAACTGTCATGAAAGCATAAATCACTTTATAGATAACATAAAGCTCCATATGTTCAGTTCCAGATCATACAGCGGTCAGCATCGCAAATCATTTTATCTCACTGTGTGTGCGTTAGCGACACATCGTAGCCTTGAGTCTAGAGAAGAAAAAGAAAAACAATAATTTGTGTTATTTAGCTGGTCATATGAGAAAAAAATGGCAGTTCATTTTAGCTAGCTAGCTAAATATTTACTATGATAACTAAATATTTGGCTCAAACATAAACACTTATTTGGAAAGCCAAATCTTTAGCTCAGTGTTAAATATTTATGTCAGAGCTAGCCTGGTGTTTAGCTAGCTCTGAATTAGCTCATCCTTTAAGCTGCAATGTTGTTCAGGAAAAGAGGGAAAACAAAGATAAAGTTGTGATTTGAAGCAATTTAAAAGCTGGAGTTCAATGAAAGGTTTCAGAAAACCAGCTTTTATTTTGATAGTCCAAGTGAATCTGCATATTACCTGAATATTTAGGTTTAAGCTCAATAATTAGCTTTCATCTAATATTTAGTTTGAAACTGTGGCATATATAAATGACATGATGAAAATATGACTTTGAAAAATGAACCAATTATTTTTATTATGACAGGATGAATAACCCGCTCATTTTGGCTGGTAGTTTTTGACAGAGTAACTTTACAAACTACTTTAACTCCACTACAGTTAGCTGCAAGCTTTAACTGCAGCGGTTTTGAATTTGAAGACATTGCTAATGCTAACGTGAGAGAGATGAGTGAACATTAAATTCATATTTATTTTCATGTGCTGTTTGAAGTTTATTTCCAGTATTTAAATTCTTTTTTATTCAATATTTTATTATTATAGTGATATATTGCTGGTCAGGTTGCTTATATACTTTGTTGAGAGGCATTCCAGTGAGTTCAGCTGATTTTGGCTCAAGGGGCTGCAGCAACGGGCGATACCTTCACCGGGGGCGACCCAAATTTCAAACAGGCCTGATTGCTGATGGGAAGTCGGTCATGAAGTTTTAATCGCTTCTTTTTACCACTATTGTGCTACGCAATGGATGACACATGATTACGCTGACATTCGGTCCAGTCAAAGAAATTGTTGCATAAAAAAGAGCCAAAAATGTCAGTTTATGCCCAACTTTACATGAGCTTAACTAAAGGCTCTTATTGCACCAAAACTCAGAATTTTCTGCTTTGAAAAACGTTAAATTCTGATTTATTAACTCAGTGATCTCACTTACAAATGAAATATTATTTTTAAAATTCAGATGTTCAGGCAAAATAAAACCAAAACGTTCTTTTCCGATAGATTGACTTTATAGATATCCATCTTACAAAACGAGTCTCTAAGGACAATAAATGTGAGAATAGCAATTTTTTTTATGAAAAACTCCACAGATAATGAGACAGTGGGACTGTTTAAATGGGTTAAAATTGTTTAATCTGAGCAATGCAAGCAGTTTCCCTCTGCTTCCAGTCTTTATGCTAAGCTGGGCTAACCTGGATGCTATCCAGTCTTTATGCTAAGCTGGGCTAACCTGGATGCTATCCAGTCTTTACGCTAAGCTGGGCTAACCTGGATGCTATCCAGTCTTTATGCTAAGCTGGGCTAACCTCAGAGCAGCTAAAGTTGATGGAGGCGGACAGAAACAGTAGGACTTCGGCGCTGGCAGCAGCTTTCAGACCACAGGAAGCTTTTTTCTCAGGAAGTTGTTCAAACCGTTTTCAGACCGTTTGACAGCAAACGGTCTGAAAACACAAACTAGCCAAACGTTTCCGTCATTCTGTGAGGTCTGCTGAGGGAGTGCGCTCCTTTCCGCCGACTCAGCGCTCCGTTTTTGAAGCTTTTCTGTGGTTGAAACCTACTCAGGGTGACCTGTGACCCTCCTGAATTATTATGCTTCCTGCTCCTCTCCACTCAGACTGCTGCATGCGGCTCGCCGTCCAGCGGCGCCTGCTTTCATCCCAACATGCTCAGCAGGTGCTGCAGCAACGTTTCCCAGAGGCTCTGTAGTGACGTGTTGCTAACAGGATTTAAGGTTTAGGACTTTCTGAAACTTTGTTCTGTCCCAACTTGCAGATGTTTAAACATTTCATGATTTATTTTCTCTATTTGTACACCAAACAGGAGAGAATCTACAGCAATCAGATACAAGTTATTATTTTAAATAAATTAAAAGCATTTTACCCTCCCGGTCGGAGATCTAAGAGCAGAACTAGCTTCCCTTCGTTTTACTGACTGACAGCAAAGACACAACAACAGTCTGAAGGAACGATTGTTGTTCCTGAAAAACACAAATCCTCCTCTCCAGACTCAAGTACCGGGTTAATTTGGGCAAATGCTGAGTTAGTTGGCTGTTTGTAAAGCCTCAAGAAGCTGAATTAAAGTGAATGAAGTTAGGAAAACAAAAGATTACACGCAGTTTTTCATATTTTGTCTCCATACTAGCTGCTGTTCCAGGCAAAGCTGTAATCCAGAAGTAGTTCAGACACCTGCAAGTTATTTGTTTGATTTTCTTCCAAAGTCGTCTTCCATGACAAACTTTACCTCAGAAAAAAGTTTTCGGTTTTTTGAAATCATTAGAAGTACAACTGCAGACTGTTTTTACTGTTGATCTTCCTCCTAGAGCTTCCAGGTGCCAGTAGCTGTTAGCTGTAAATAGCTGCTAGCTGTAAATACCTAACTAGCTGTAATCATCAAGCTGTCATTAGCAAGCAAAATTAAGGCTTTATTCACAATTTTCCATCAGTTAAAATGAACTGTTAGCAGTTACGTTCAACCAGCTAACAATATTTAGCTTAATATTTAGCTCTATCGAAAAAAAATCTGAATATTTGAAAGGGAAACGCGAGTCGATCAATGACTAATCTGATATTAACAAAGGCTTGCTAAACATCTTATGGTAGTTGTATTTACTATGTAGCTGTTAGCTTTAACAAGCTAAATAGTTTAAGTTCTGGTACTTCACTTTTTTATGAAGAAAACAAAATTAAAGTCACATCAACAGATGAGAAAAATAAAATTAGCTGTGGCCTTTACAAAGTCTTTTAAAACCTTCCAGGCCTCACAATCAGCAGGAAGAGGTTAGCTTTAACTAGCTAACTAGTCCTAACTTAGTAAGCTTTGCATCTGCAGAGAAGGAAACCACTTTTCCAGTCAAAAGAGTCGATCAATGTGACATTAAAGTGTCACAGGAGCTTTTTAGCTGAGTTTCAGTGCCTAAACTTAGCAATTAGTTGTTAGATTTAAATATCTAACCAGCTCATATAGTTAGCTCAGTGTTTATGATGAAAGAAGGAAGCTTTTTAATGGGACATTAAGACTGATAAGTCCATCAATAAATACTAGATCAAAATTAATAGCTTCAGCTCAGCAGGTGGAGGTTAGCTTTAACATGCTAACTAGCTGCACTCACGTGGTTAGTTTTCAGGGTGAATATATCATCAGTGAATTATTCTGTCATCTCTCAGGTTTATTTTTCTGTCAGGATCTAAACCAGGGCTCCCCAAACTACGGCCCGCAGGCCGGATTCGGCCCGCCTCCACATTTGGTCCGGCCACCTGAACAATCCCAGAGAGCATTCAGATATTTTTCCATTTATTGTATTTTCCGGTTTATATGTGGATTTTTCTTCAACCACCAGGGGGCTCTTTAGCAGCAAGTGTGTCCTGTAGACTGTGGGGCGCATTGCTGCCATCTGTTGGACTTTTAGGGAACTGCTTGACTTTTATGTTATGTAATCAGTTCGGTTGTTTGCTAGCGGTAGAGCAGATGAACACGTGTCTGTTATGAAGGTTGAATTCTTCAAAGCGACGCCTGTAAAACGAGCCTTTATGTTAACATATGAGAAATTAATATGTTATAGTTTCATTCCCTCAGTGGAATATATACTAGTCAGTCCCAGTGACCGTTTCACTCATGGGTTTTGCCCAAGTGCTTTCTGGGTAAAAATCAATCGAGAAACGCCCCCTCCCCCTCAACAATTTCCGGCCCCCCACCACAGAAGGGAAAAGTTATGTGGCCCTCACAGGGAAAAGTTTGGGGACCCCTGATCTAAACGGTCAGATTTCAGGCTGAGGCTCGTTTTTCTGGAGTGATGAATAAAAGCAGACGGCTGCTCTTCATGCTGACTGTGAGGATTATCCTCCATGATGAGGCAACACTGCTGGTTTTTCTTCCTGTTTCCTTTAACACTAAAAAACTCACAACACTAGTGACCAACATCTGTACTAAACCACTAAACTCACATCTAATCTTTTTTGTATGACTGCTTTTATTATTATTATTCTATTTTTAATACATTTTTTCAATCTCTTTTGTTATCATTTGCCAGACAAAAAGGCGGGAAACGTGTGAGGCCAAACAAAGAGGATTAAAACTGCCCGGGATTCGCTGAGCAAGGAGCTCTGAGCCCCGCCCCCAACTCTTCCTCCTCCTCCTCCCTCCATCCCTCCTCTTCCTCCCGAATAATCGGAGTAATCATGTAAACAGATCACCACGGTGAGAGACAGTCGGAGCGAATGAGAGGGATGCAATTCATGTAGTTGAGAAGTAAAAATACTTCCTCAGAAAGCAATAATTCACCCCACCTTCATCCGTCCATCTCCCTCCGCCCGGGTCTAAACGAGCATCCTGTGTTTTTTTTTACTTTTTCTTTGCTTGTCTGTGAGATTTTATATTGTCTACGAGAAAAGAAAATGCAGAAATGTAAAAAATCCTCCTTTAGCTCCCCCCACCTCCAATCACTGCCGACGTCTGATTGGTGGATTTAAATGTGAAGGAAACAAAAAACAAAAGAAGAAAAAAGACTCTTAGTTTTATATTGACGACCATTTTTGTTCGTAGTCCCCTCCCTCAGCCCCAGTCTTCCCATTGCTCCCAGTAGATGAGGACTGCCCCCCCACTGCACCGTCTTCAGCGCTGTGTGTTTAATGTTTTAGACTGTTATATTGTGTACATGGAATAAAAAGAAAAGCAAAACAGCTTCGATTACTAAAGTCAAATGTTTCTTTTTTTCTCGTTTTCCAGTTTGGTTTTTGATTGTTTTTTAAAACTCCATCTTCTCACTGTTACATCTGACAATATGCTGTAATTAATAAAACAATAAAAAGCAACAATAATAATAATAACGATGATGATGTTTTGTTGGTCCAAGTTTTCACATGTCTGCTAGCAAATTGTCAAGAAAAAGATAGAAAAATAAAGACTAAAATCTAACAACTAAACTGCGAGTCACAGTGAGTTTCTGTTTGGGGGCGGGGCCTGCTTCCGATTGGTCGGCCGTTAATCTGCGTATCGATAATCCCGTTACGTAATGGGCGGAGTGAGGCGAGATTCCTTTGTACTAAAGAAGATCTGTGAGTATTATGGGATGTCGCAGCTCCATATGCCAGACGCTTCACACCTTTTATCTGCTGCTGTTTTCTTTATGTAATAAAAACAATAGATATGAATTAGTTTGGCCCTTTTATAGAAATGAAAAATGAGCCTGAGTCCTCTGAAGGATTTGAGCTGAAAAGGTTCAGCAGATTTATTTTAGACAAACATGAGGAACAATCCTTTAATCCGGCGCTGCTCACCAATACATGATGCCTGATTATAATATGATCGACAATCTGCCTGCTGGATTACGATGGATTTATGACAGCTCGGAAATTCATCTGCAACTTCCCTCAAGTGTTACTGAAACTGCTGCTCAGAGAAGCAAAGACATTCCTGCTGTTCTCACTTTGGAAACGTTAATTAATCTTTAAAAATATTCATTAATAATTCTACCAAATTCATCGACAGCTAAAAACACCTTTATCATTTCCTGCATCTTTATTTTAAATATTTAAAAGTGTTTAGAAGATAAAGAGAAAATGAACTCATTAAAAAACAACAGAGAAGTTGAGGTGGAAAAATCAGATCTGATAAGATTTAGTCCAGAAGTTGGACTGATGACTGGTTCATGTTTAATTTGCAGCCAAAACAAAAATATATTCCATCCATTTTCTAAGAGCTGGTTCCTTAGTGGGTCGGGAGGAGCTGCTGCCTCTCCAGTTAATGTTCTGGGTGAGAGGTGGGGTCACCTGGACAGGTGACCAGTCTGTCACCAGGCAACACAGAGACACAACCAAACCTGACAGTCATGTTTTTGGACTGTGGGAGGAAGCCAGAGTACCTGGAGAGAACCCACCATTGCAGAAAGACCAGGGCTGGGAATTGAACCCAGAACCTTCTTGCTGCAAGGCAACAGCTCTACCCACTGCGCCACTGTGCAGCCTTATTGAGATGATCAATGCTGCTGAATTTGGTTTAATGCTTTCAGCTTAAATTAAAAGATTTTAAACTGTTTAACATTTAAATGTAAGATTTTAAGGAGCTGGTAGGTTTACTTTGTAAAACTTCAAATAACAATATTCATAGCTAATTGTTTTGTTACCATAGCAACAATCTGATGCTGTGAGTTTAATCTTTGAGTTTGAGCTGTTTGTTCACAGATACAAATGAATAAACTGGATTATAGCTGATTGTTTTTATGTTGGCCAGTTAAACTCCTCCTCCTCTCCCAGATTAAATCCAACTCAGAAGCTGTTAGAGGTGCTGATGGGGCCCCTCAGTCAGATTCTGCTCCAGGCCTCATGCAGCGTTGGACCGGCCCTGCAGGATGAGTTAAATCTGCAGCACTGAGCAGAGATGAGCAACAAACAGGAGATTTAATTCAATGCTGCTAATGTGGCTTTAGCAGCTCTGCCATTTCATGTCTGTTGAGTTTTAATAAGAATCTCAGAAACTGTTTTGGTTGCTGGAGTTTATGGGACGAGAGGTTCAGATCTCTGCTCGGCCGCACGCATCAACTCTGGCTACGTGGACAAAGCATTTGGTGTGGGTTGGTGCATCGTGTAACCAGAAAAATAAGAATAATATAAAACC